CTGTCTTGCACCATGCCTGCAACCCAAACAGCCCCTCTAGGGTTAGAAAACCAGTCAAGAGGACAGAATTATGCTCCTGGCTCAGTGGCTGTGGTCTGCATGCCAAGTCAATAAGACGTTGAACATATCTGTGCCTCAAGTGTTTCCCACTTTAAAACGGAAGCGGGAGGGTTGACCCATATTTATAAAGCGATTCGAAGCCTGTTGCAAGATGTCACAGCATGGTTATTGTTTAAAACACTGCTAGATCTGTAATTTCTCAAACTAGCAGGTAGGGATTAGAGTGGTGAAGCTGCCGGGCAGCCTCGGTGTGCTCTTTGGGCCGGCAGATTACTTGAACGCAGGCAGAGGACTGCAGGACCTGCTGGCGGTGGCCCTGGGCTGGCTGCGCCAGGGCACGGCCAGGTGAGCCAGGGCTCCAAGCATGCCCACAACCCACAGTGCCAGCACGTCACAGAAGTCAGCTTGGCTTGCAATGTAAAGAAACTTCCTGAGAGTCACCGTCTCTTCCACTGCCTGTCTTCTTCCCATTTATTTTTATCCCATTTGGAAGCGCTCATTGGTGTTTACTACCACTTGTCAACCAGAAGCTTGATATAACAGAGCTGACAAGGTGGATGGGGAAAGTGAGTGAAGAAAACAGACGCAAAAGCAGGTGCTCTTTGGCAAAAGGCCTACCCTAGAGCAGTATAGACCTTATAGTGTTATTAGCTTATAAATGCAGAGTTTCATCTCCTGTTCTCCCTTGCTATTGCAGAATTGCCAACTTGCATATTTTCAGTGAGTCTCTCTTAGTCTATGTTCTTTCTCATGCCCCAGCTCATCAAGGCAGGTGATTAGGAGAGTTGCTGCACTTCGGGGATTTTTAGATACATTTCTACTGTTTATGGCTACAAACCAAAGTGCATCCTAGAGGCTGAAAAATACCCCAGCAAAAGGCAAAGAGCCCATACATACTATTTTCAAGAAGCTTCTTGGTTGTTAATCCTTTTTCTTATCTTAGAATCACTGCGTTGCAATGTGGCAATTCTCTTCCTCACTGTTTCCTTTCAGGATACTCTTACTTGCCTTTTCTGTATTTTGTCTCCCCTTATTTCTCCACTCACCCCCACAAACCTCATGTCTTCCAGTCCTTTTCTCTTCCACTAATCCCCTGTGATTCCCTTTCTTACCCCACTCATGCCACCCGCCCTCCACATCCCTGGTCACACACAGCCCTTTGGCAGCTTCAGCCCTTCCACCTCCATCAACGCCAGCCGCTTTCCAGACACGATCTCACATGCATCCTCCTCAGCCACCCTCACTTTGGAATACTTCTTACTCACCTTTGAGTCCAGAAAACACCAAGTTCACTAAGGAATTTTCATAGACCACACAGCAGTTATATGACCTGTAGACAAATTTTTGGGAGTGCTAATGGGAGATGCCTCTCTTTTCTGGCATCCAGTGCCAGACACTACCAAAGTGATCAGTAGACAAGTGCCAACCTCCTGTCCTCATCTTAAGCTCCATCAACAGCCCAATGCTTGAGAAAACTGAGCTGAAAGCCCTGAGTTTTATCATTGCTAAAAGCTTTGACACTCCCGCTGATGTAAGTACTTTGAACACTGAGCCATTTTGATGTGGTCTCAACAAAACATACTTGTGGTCTGGATCCAGACTTCATCATTTATGTAACTCTAATCTAGACATTAACATTTCCATGTCCCAGTTTAATTTTCTGTAAAATGAGGATCACGTGCCTCTTCCTATCTCTTGGCCTGGTAAGAGGTTCAGTATGCTTTCTCACATGCTCTGAAGTTCTCAAATGAAGGGATTCAACGCAGGGCCAAGGAGCCACAGTGCTTTTCTGCCTCCGGGTCGCAGAGCCATTATTCACATTACTCAAGAATGTTCTAAATACGCGTATGCTTGGTAGGCAAGGTACCAGAGGGTGAGATGTGCACTAGAAGCCTTTTCCCTTTGTGCTTAGATCTTTATCTCAAACCTAAAACCCAAACCAGCCACATTAGTTAGACTTAACTTGCACTGTTTCATATGACAACTCATTAGACAGGAGCCCTCAAAGCAAATTTTGTTTAAGTCTAAGCAGAATAACCTTTCTTTGCCACATTTATTATGTCTTGGCCAGCAATGATGTCTAAAGGGCTTGCTGTCTATTAGCCAGTGATTTAACGCTGTTTGCCAAAGTCTTTGGAGAGCGGGGCATTTCACCTAAAGGGAGGTTGTTCTTTTTAAAAGAACAAGAGGGTTCTTTCCATTGGAACAGGTGACACAATCTCAGGAGCCTCTGCTTGCAACACCAGTCAGCTTTTGCATCCCATCCCTGGCCACTGCTGGTGGGCCAGAGTGGAAAGTGCTAATCCAGGAGTGCTTGAACTTCTCCAGAGAGCATCTGACATGGGGCCTTTTTGGGTCCAAATGTTCCAAGTGTGTGTGGGAAGGACATTTCCCTTTAGTGGGTCCCTTTGATCTCTTTCACTTCGGGCTTCCCCTCCAGGCCTATTGTTTGCACATTGCTGTAACTACAGGAAAACAAACGCATTATACAATTTCCCAGACTGACTCACCCTGGTACTTGATGCCTCATGTTGTCTGGTTACCCCGATTGCATCATGTCAGCATGGGAAGCTTAAAGGCTGGTTTTTCTGAGTAATACTGAAGTTGAGCAGTAGCTAAAAACAAAAAAGTTATCATTATTGCTATTATCTTCAACCTGCAAAGTACAAGGGAGAAAAACCAAGCAAGCCAAGTCCCTATTAACTAAACCTTGTGTGAATCATGAGTTCCAGTCAGGGGCCATGCTTAAATGATGCAGTATGTGAATATAAAAACCCTTTACTTCTGGAAACTTGGACTCAGCCATTGGAACGGGCCAATCCGTACTACTCCCTCGTTCCCGGCTCCTCTGGGATGCGTTTTGTTTGGCGTGTTGTAAACAGGGAAGGGTGGGAGGTGTCCATGCGGCTGCGTCATGCACAGCGGGAACAGGGCCATTGCTTCTGGGTGGGGATGAAACCCCAGGAAATTTGTGCCCTGGTTAGAGTTCAAGCATCTTACGTTCCTGTAACTAACGTGTATGTGGAGGGAGGGGATTATCCGTAGTGTTCATCTTTAGCTGTCCTAGGTGCACCCAGCAAAGCTGACTGAGCTTCAGAGAGCAGCTCCCAACACCTGGGTTGAGGCTCTCCATTGCTGCACCACGGCCCCTTCCTGAGCCACCCGCTTTGACTGCCCAAACATCACCAAAATACTCCCCCATAGGACCCCCATGCATTAGCAAGAAAGCGTTGCAGGAAGTTCAATTCTGATGTAGGGCTGCTTCCACAAACCAAAACTTCGTTTAAAAGAAAGCAAAACTCCCTCTCCTATGCCTTCCTCCATGGCAGGGATGTGCTGGGCGAAGGGAGGAATTGCAATTGTTACAATCCCACGCCTGCAAAACATCTCTTGCAAGCATCAGACCTTGCCTCCTCTCTCTGAATTGAGCTGACACAAAGCCACTGCTTTCCCTCAGGCTGCCACATGCAGCACTAATTGCACCCTCGGCAGCATTAGCTGTATCTACATACTCAGCCGTGTGGTATCCAAAGGTTAACAGCATCACACATTGGTGAGGAAACGACAGAATCCTCCTTTTGTGCACGCTGGGCAATGCGCTCACGTGCTCTGTGGGAACTAATTTCAGAAGTTTAATTTCATGTAAGCCAGCATGGAGCCAGAGGTGGTGACAACCATTAGCTCACAGAGGAAAGCCATCATCTCTTATACACCCTGGCCCACAAAGGTTGAAAGGAAAGTAGATAGTAAAAACATCGCGATAAAACTCCATTTCTGTTTTGAGTCAGCCGTGTGGGACAAAAGCCTCTAATTTCTTGGTATCTCACAGGGAAAAGAATCACTAAAAGCTCCAAGACAAAAGCCTCTACGCCGAACAGCACGTCTCAGATTCATTTTTGATCACCTGATATTTCGTGCAAACAAGAGGCACTGTGTAAACTAAATTACATATATTTATTTGCACTGACAAATCAATAGTGACAAAATTAATAAGACCTTCTTTAAGCTTTGAGGACATGATTAAAGGATTTTCCAAGGATATTTCTTCATTCAAAAGGATATAATTACACTTAAACAAGTTATCACATTTGTGCACTGTAAGTACAAAAGCAGCTCTTACGGGACTTGTCTAGACACTTCCACCGTGTTTCTTTGTTCTTCTTGTAAAGTAATTTTTTATAAAGGAACTGCACTATCCAATTTTTTCATCCAAGTTTTATCTCTCTCAGTTTCTGATAAGAGAAGATTCCTTCCTTTACAGAACCTGTGTTTTCTCAAATTTTCATTTTACAGAAATTTGCCAGGAAATGTTTTGTAAATCCAGAATGATTTCACCCTTTTCAAATGCATGAAATCCTTTCTATTTCTGACCTTTCTCATTTTTCTCGTATTAGTTCTTCAACCAGAATAACCCAGCAGTGGCCTTTAAAAAATTCAAGCAATGAATTGAAAGAAAATTGCCACCCAAAGTAATGCAGAGCTGTGACTGTGCAGAGGGTTATTGCCTCAATCCATTATCTGTAACCTCAGATGAACAAATTTAAAAAACCATTACATATGTTAATATATGCACACCAGTGTTCCAGCTGGCTTGCACCAATGCTACAATTATGCATAAAAGTCAGGAAATTATGTGTGGAAAGGATAATGAGCAGCATTGTCTGCCCAATTACCAAGTTTGCATATGCAAACAATAATTTTGCAAATCTGTGCCTGGCAAGTATTTTTTCTGAAGTTGCATCAGCAGCTCTAAGGTTAACTGTAGCAGCAAAGTAACTCAAAACCACCTCAACTCTGCTTCAACCCATCCTCCCTTTTTAAAGAGAAGAAAAGCACTTCATCTGAAGGTGATTAGACGGGAAAGCACGCCAGCCCAGCTCTGGCATAATCTGCCTATTGCTGAAATGCCAGTAGCTGGGAATTACGCTTCTTTTTTTCAGGGATTCGGATCTGTTCCTGCTCGACTCTCGAACAATCTGGGCTGCAGAAGAAGGGTGGCTGGTGTTTGACATTACTGCAACCAGTAATCACTGGGTGGTGAATCCCCAGCACAATCTTGGCCTGCAGCTCTCCGTGGAAGGCATCGATGGTGAGTGTCAGACACCAACGTCAATCAGTGAGTCTCCCTTTCAGGTACACGATCCCCGGCCAGGGGAAGCCTTAAGCATTCAGTGCTCTTCCCTTTAAATAGGATTTCTTAAGCGTGTTTTTCCTGAATTTTCCTAAGATGCAAACAATAATAACAGAAAAGTAATCCATAGACATATTTCAGGTTGAGGATGTACCCAGATGCTTTAACAGATTGGTAACCTGCCTGCAGTCATTTCAGTATTGCCTATGTACACATCCCTGTCAAGGTATGTATACGCTGCTGGCTGATTTGCACGTAGTGCAATCCAGTCAAGGAGAGAGGAAGAAACTTTGCTGTGTGCAAAAAGACGCAACTGAGCGATGTAGAAGGCTGGCGTTTACTAGCACAAAAGTCCTTTCAAATCCAGAAAACAGCTAGGAACCATTTTATCTTCCTTTGTGGCAGTAGAAATGACTAGTAAAGTCCTGCCTGGTCTGGACTCCAGGGTCTGCAGCGTGCTTATGGTACAAACCAATGAGGTTTGGCAACAGGTGGGAAGACCTGGCTCTGAAATAGCTCGAGAAAGGATGTGTTTAGAACCAGGTGGGGAATTTTCCTAACCAGGTCTTAACTAAAACGTCATGCTGCTTTGTCTTAAAGTTAAGATTCCTGATGTTCACTTGGAGACTTGTGCAAGGAAACCAAAGTATCCTGGATCTTCTGGGGGGGTTCCCAGGACCTGGGACCGTCTGGAACTGCCTGGCTGCCCCACAGGAGAGGTTAAGCAAAACCCAGCTCAAGACTATTATAAATATTCCGACTGTAGTTATCTAAGGACATACTTTCATTCTCCAGATATGCATCTATGATATCACTTGCTATTTTATGCAACACTGAATGTTTCCAGTAAGTAGTATTTTGCATAAAGACTGTACAAAGCAGTTTTGAAACAGGCAACCTACAGAGAGTCATTTACATGAAAGGGTGATTTTACTCATACGAGACCTGCACACAGAGAGGTGCACAGGGTTTGTTTTAACCTGCCCTGAGTGATCAGTGTATGCAGAAACCCAAACACAGATACAAAGCAGGAGCTTCACTGTGGAAGTTACTAGTCCCCACCCCAATGACAGATGACTTTTGCCATCTTTGCTTAAAGATTCAAATGCAACCTGATTTACAAGTTAATTTTAACTCTTAAAGCTAAAACAGTAAGGCAAATTAACAGCCAAGACAAGCTTAACCCATTTTCAAACACTTGTCTTTGGTTTTAGTTTCCAGTTTGCCTCCTAAAGGAAATACTTGGAAGTACAGAAGTTGTGTCCACAATCATGGCACATTCGTTCAGTTGTGGTTCACCTATAGGAAAACCATCAAGACCAGCCCAGAGTCCACAGAAAAGCAATAGCTGGAAGTAGGCTTAATACCTCTAAACGCTGTGGATACTACAGTATCATACTCTCACCCTTCTACTGATAATGTCTTCTTATCGCTCTGTCCTTCTCCATCCTCACCTAGGAATTTTACAGCAAAGTCGATCCCTTTTTTCAGCATTAAGAAGGAAGGCAGCTGATTTACATGTTACAGATTTCAATGGAGACTTTTCAGGATCCTACATCCAAGGAAATCCTGTAACTTTGCACAGACTTACAGTATCTCTGTCTGCTCTACCGGAGCAATCAGGAGCGGACAGTTAAAGCATACAGCCAGATCTATCACAGAGCTTTCAAAGGCAGAAATTCCCAGGTTCAGTGATAAGTGCATTCTCATCTGTTACTCAACTCAATGAAAATTAGGAATCTGGTTTCTTTTTACGCTCCTGAAAAAGCTACCTGAGTTTGTAAAGGGTTGAAATCATACACAAAGTGACTTGCTGCTTTCCCAAAATAGATTAACAAAATACTTTAATCAGCCTGTCATTAAAGCTAGAAAAAACAACTGCAGTGTTTAAAAAGTAAATACAGAGATACAGGAGCTGATTGTCTGCATGTCTTCTGTAACCAAGTCCCATGGCAGCACACATTCGCACTCACATTTCTCCACCATACATGTGAATTTTTCTTTCTATTTTGAATGGCAAGGACATGTCCTTCCTTGCTCCCCAGGTTTCATTTTGGATTTATACCAACTGTGTACGCTAACAAGAAAGCTGCTTTTACACCTGGACTTCATATGAAAATCATATGCTGCAAACACAGCGGGATTTTGATGCAACACTATATGCTTGGGCAACCCCCAAAGCTTTAAGTGAATTAGAGAGGGAGAAAAAAAACCCCCAACCTCTTTTCTTTGTATCTGTCATTACATATAGAGATGTCTAACCATGAAGCCAATACAGTCTATGTAAAAAAAAAATCTGACATCACAAGCACTGTCCAGATGAAATTATACAAAATAAATTAATTTAACTGATCTTTGTATTTCTTTATAATCTTGCTGAATAAGTCTATCAAATGTATAACTAGAGTGGAATCAAAGGGTATTTGTTTACTCTCAGAAAATGGGGATGAGCTCAAGCAGCAAGCAAAAGAAATGTTGGAGTGACTCGGTAGCCTTCAGCGAGCTCTCAGCCCAGCACCCAATGCACCTTGCTCAGCAGCAGCACGAGGGAACAGCAGCTGCCCACTTCGGTTTACTTAGTTTATTATTTAAGATCCCATTTTTGACAGGATTAAAAAAATCAGCTTCATAAAAGCAGATAAAGTCATGCTCTCTGGTTCAAGAGCACAGCTTTACTTCTTTTGGGAGAAGTTTATCATTGTCTAAGGGCGACTACACGTGTGTCCTTGTGTTTAACCTTACTTTCTGGATGTATAGGAACAACAGAAATGGATTTTTTCCATCTTTATTAAAAAGAAATATGCTACTTCACATACAGAGCATTACATGCCTTTTTTCCCCCTAAGGAAACATTGCCACCATAATGGTCTTGAACATGACATGTTGGTGTTACATGAGGAATTCATTGGTCAAATGCTACTTATTGCTGCACTAATGCAAATCCATTAAACATATTGGTGTGAAGCTGGGTCCCCTCCCTGCATGCCGCTGACCTACTCTCTAGAGATACGGTAAAAGTAAAATAATTTACACTGGACAAACCACAGTCGTAGATGTATTTGCTAGTTTAAACAGCTTTGGGAAGCAGAAAGGCTTCTTTGAAGGGGCAGGAAAAGCCGTAGGAGCAGTATTCAGTGAGCTCTAACTCCTGCAGCTGAGCTTGTTTTCAGGAAATAAGGCTTCGATCTGGCAAAGCCTGAGCACAAGTGGAACTACTTATATATTTAGCATTAGCTACTTGCTTAAGCACTTTGTGGGCTCAGCCTCAAATGTTTAAAATGAAAACTGTTTGGACAAGTTTCTGGAAAGGAGCTTAAGCAGAAGGTGAAGAAATTGTTGATGTGTGTTCACATATAAATCTACGTACATGAGTTTTTGCATTTGCTGTTTTCACCCTAGCTTTCCTGGTGCCCTGAGATGAGTTTTGCTTTGCCTAGCCTGCGAGGCCTGGCCCCACTCCTCTGCAGACCATGCCGTGGGACCTGGCCACACCAGGCAGCCGTCCTGCTGCCAAGCTGCCCGGCTCCCATTAAAACACCTCGAGAGCCAGTCCTCTCCACACATCCCATGCATTGCAGCTTGGGACTTGCTCGCTGGGCTGCACACTTTTAGAAAAATAGGGAATGGACTCCAGCCAAGGCCGGTCCGTTTCTTGGCCTCAAGCTTTGACCACAGCCCCCTTTTCTGGGTCTGTCACCTTTACCGATCTTTTGGCCACGTGCAAGGGCAAAGATGGAAACCGTTCCATAGAGGCAATAATTTATAAGCCCTGGCATTTACTTTACTCATCTTAAAAACAGCAGTTATAGAATATTACCTAGAAATACTTCAGGTTACCAGCTTTTCACACAGTGGTCAGAAACTGGTAAGACAGGGAAATTTGTCGGTGGACTGTTGAGCCCCTCGCCTGCTCTCCCCGGCCAGGCTGCCTTGCAGGGCTTCTCTGGGAAAGCATCAGCTGTCCTCTGGCATATTTGCTTTGCGGCTGACAAGGCCCAGCTCTGTCCTTAGCAAAAGGATCACAAAAGCCATTAACGTAACTTTGACTTAGCAGCAGTACTCAAGTAGCTCGGAACAGAATAAATCTGGATATCGCCCCTGCATTTCACAACAGTGCCCAGACATCGTTTGGATGCAACAGGGAGAATGTTAGATGTCCTGCTGCCACCCGCTCCTCGCATCTTTTGTAAATAATTGATTTCATTCTACAGAGAAATTACCTAATCATCTTTTACCAAAAATAAAATTATTTTTAAAGCCTGGGATGAAGGAAACATGAACAGTAATCAGCTGTTTTAGAACAAAGTTATCGCATACAGTAGTGCTGAGATAAAGCAATAAGCAAAATGTCCCTAAACAGCTGAACTATTTGTTTCTCTCAGCTACAGTATATCTGGAACTCTGTCAACATTTCATACAAGGCATTTTTATTTTAAGTTAATAACCTTCCAGTGGGAATTTAGTGTTCCTATGGGCTGAGTTTTATGGTTCCTTTTATAGGATCTCTTCAAATTATAGGTTGGTGAACTTAAAGAAACCCCTCTAAAGAATGCAGGAAAAGTTAATGCTAAGCGGATTTAGGGTAAAATAATTATACGTAGGACTATTTTATGTAACTTTTACATTCAGATATAAAATGAAGTTAGCTGTGCTGAGCTGCTCTTGTCAGAAGCAGCTTTGCCGATTAAGTCCAGGCCGTTGGTGGATCAACGCATACAGGCATGCCTAGGCATCACCCTTACCAGCCAGACAGCTGCTCTCCTCCTTGTTACCCTTACTATGTCTGCTGAAAATGAAAAGTTACTGTAGGCCCTCTTATCAGTCCATTCTGTTCTTAAGGGCAAAGCATCAATCCCAAACTGGTGGGTCTCATCGGAAGGCACGGCCCGCAGAACAAGCAGCCGTTCACGGTAGCCTTCTTCAAAGCCACCGAGGTCCATCTCCGCAGTATTCGCTCCACGGGAGGGAAGCAAAGGAGCCAGAATCGATCAAAAACGCCAAAGAACCAGGAAGCTTTCCGGGTGTCAAATATTGCAGGTACATTGTGGGTTGCCGGGTCTGTCTTTCTGGGTGTGGGATAATGCTGTGCTGGTCTTGACACTGGGTGGGAACAGTTTCTCCCATACTCAGCCTGTTCATTGTCTCTTCGGTTTACCAATAGTGCTCTCTTTCTGGTTTGAAACTACTTGGGATTAGGGATTATTCAAAAAAAATTAGAAAAATAATGTTTTTTTGAAACAACGTTAAACTGAGGGATTTCTTAATCCACTATTAAAAAAAAAAGCCATCTAACCAGAAGATCTTTTCTCCCACATGAATTAAATTCTCACTTTGAAAGGTAAGATAATGACATTAAACCAATGAGTAAGTGATCAAAACGATGATATATTTCAGTGGATCCGAATCAAAATGCTGTAGGTTTTCAGAGTTTGTGATTTTAAGTTTAGCCCCCAAAAAGTTTAGCAGTTCCAAAAGTTTTGCATGGATGAGGGAAACCCACTCAGTGCTCAGGATAACCGCAGCTATTTTGGGGGGAGCTGTGCTTCCTAATATGGAATAAAACTCTGCCAGGCATTTGAAATAGAAACATGGCTTAATTATGAGATACCTTGGAATAACGGGCCCTTGGTGCCCTTCCCAGCAGGAACCGCAGTGCAGGGCGAGCTCCGCTGAGGGCAGTGGCAAATTCCAGCTCTATTTCTGCGAGCACTTCACTGAACGGAAGGAGAGCTTGCAAGAGGTGGAAGGAAAAGGTCAACGCAGGGCACAATATCGTCTTCATGCCTCACCTTTGCCTTGGGTTGCTGGGGTTACCTGCAAGGCTATGGGAGAGCTCTCTCCTGTCAGTCTCGTTGCAGCTTCCTGATATTTAATCAGGTCATTCCTGTCCTAGAACTAACGATGTTTTTCTGCAGCCCTGGTGATAGGTGTGGCTTCTCTGACCTGACCATATGTATGTATTTCGGTACCTCTCACCGAAATCCTAGAGTCTCTTAAAATGGTTTTCCATGGTTTATGTTTCCAAGTTCTGGGTTTTGCAGTTCCCTGAGCATAGATGGTCTGCAGTTTAAGTGTACATTTTTTTCATCTGTTTGCTATATCAATTCTATTTTTAATGGATGGGTAATGGACAAAAGAATTTCTTACTTCCACGATTAGGTTAGAAAAGTCCCTGTAACCAGTGTCCTACTTCCAGCTTGGGGACCCCATGTTGAGTTAGTTTCCAACAGCGAGAGCTGAAAAAAATATTTTCCAGTACTTCTACTTGGGTCTCCAGTTTCCAACAGCAAGAGCTGAAAAAAATATTTTCCGGTACTTCTGCTTGGGTCTCCAGCTCAGGCTGTATATCCAGCAAGGACACAACTTTAAAAATGCATTGATAGTCGTGGGTGTTCAGATCCACGATTCAGACCTATGCTTTATTCTTCGGCTTTAGCACTGTTACCTATTGTGAGAGGTCTGTAATCTGGATCCAGCAGCACTGGACAGAGGAACAGACTTCACACTGCCTTAAGGTCATACGTTGCCTTTGTAGGCCTGAAGGTGCAACTATCACCAGTAATGCAGGCAATTCAAAGACAGAAATGTAAATGGCGCCTTTCCCTATCACTCCTTTCACAGATTCTCATTTTATATAGTAGGCAACAGTCAGAGCAAGCTGCTTTTTGCAGGGGAGAAACGAAAAAAAAAAAAAAAGAGAGAAGGAAAAAAAAAAGCTATTTTTCCAAGCCTTTTTTGGCTTTGCACAAATAGCCAGAGGGGCATTTCATGTGTATTGAACCCAGCCATTATTTTATGGCTAAAACTGAAAATGTTTAAAAAAAAAAAAAAGCCAGAAGTGCAACAGATGAGCAGCAATGCCTCACTCCCTGTTGGGGCATTGCTGAGGGCTGCGGGAGCCGGGGCAGCCCAGCCTTACAGACCCCCCTTTCCCCCTGCGCAGAGAACAGCAGCAGCGACCAGCGACAAGCCTGCAAGAAGCACGAGCTCTACGTCAGCTTCAGGGACCTGGGGTGGCAGGTAAGGGCTGTGACCGACCGGGGTGTGAGCTGGAGTGCCTTTGCACATCACTTACTGACCTCCAAGAGCGAGAACAAGCCAATAACTGTTTGGGTTTTTTTTATCCCTGGGGGGAAAAAACCCTTAAGCCTTTAGCATGCTTAAGAAGTGCTTCTGCAAAGTTAGGGTGTACAAATATTTAGTGTGACACTGGCTAGAAACTCAACACACTAGGTCCTTTTGAGTGACTGTGGCCCCCTGAATTTCCTCTGGCAGCACTGAACGCACATACAGCTCTCCGTTTTCATCTATCAATTCTTTTAGATCTGGTTAAAGACATTTTCGTTTCTGAAAGCTTGTACCTGCATTTCAGCGATGGGTGAAGTGATCCTTGTGGACAGCCAGGAGGACACTGCTGAATGGATGAACAACTAAACCCAGCTACATTATGGGCATGTTTGCAAAGTAGGATATGTCCCTCCAGGAAAAGCAGCCGCTTTAGAGGCGTACCAGATAGCATTAGAAAGGCCAGAGGACCAGATTTTTATTTTGCAGGCTACTGTAATTGCATGCAGACGTATGAATTGTTAGATTTATGTGCTGTTCTACTTCTTGTTTCACTGCACCATATTTCTGTCTTTCTCCACAATCTAATATCTTCAATTTAATCAAGGACTGGATCATCGCTCCGGAGGGCTACGCTGCGTATTACTGTGAAGGAGAATGTGCTTTCCCGTTGAATTCATACATGAATGCTACAAATCATGCCATTGTACAGACACTGGTAGGTGCACACTGTAGCTCCTAGTACAGAGTTATTTTTGATAGGTGCTACTCAGAAATAAGTTTATACACAAAAAAATCTCTAAGCTAACAAGAGGAGGAAAGTCTGCATTAGCTCATTAAGATGCCTGCAGCATCTGGCTAAACATATCTAGCCAAGTGGCCTGAATTAATAGTTGGCTAGGAATTACCCTGTCTTTGTTGCAAGCTTTGACATGCTCTCTCTAGTTTCAAAGGGCCCTATGATAGACATGTTAATGGTGGTATAGTCCTACTGCACGGGAAGCAAAGAGCAGGACGTGAGACCCGCTATTAGCATCTCTTGGAAAAACTCTCTAAGAATCCACTGTAGGCTGCCGGCTAAAGAGGATTTGGGGGCAGACTGAGGAATGGGTCAGCAAATCTCAAAATTACACAGCCCAGCTGCTCTGTGGGTGTATTTGTGTTATAAAATTGTGCAAAGATGTCCAGATGGGAGCCCAGAGCTGGCGTGTCCTCACGACACAGCGCCTGTGCTCAGGGGGACTGTTGGCTGGGGGCCACCCAGCCCCAGCTGTGTCACCAAAGCCAACGCAGCACAGCTCTTGGCACAGGCCAGAAGACGTTGCTGGTCCCAAGTACCTCGGCTGTGCAGCACCCCCAGCTGACCTGCCTGGATGCCCTCCCTTACCCAGCTCAGGTCCAGCTCAGCAGCTCCCTGCAGACATCAGCAGGGCACGAGGAGGCTCACTCCACCCTTTCATCTACATCCCATGTCCTGTGCACATCTAAGGGCAATGTTGCAAAAGGTATTAGGGAAACTAGAAGCATCCACATTTCCAAGGGAAGAAATATCCGAGTGTTTTTATGCTGGTAGATTGCTTTTTCCCCTCTCTCCTCGGAGGTCCCGCAGCAGGGAGCGCAGGGGACCCAGAGCCCTTGGCCCCAGCTGGGTCCCGGTGCTGCCAGCGGCAGCCCAGGGCTGATGGGATTTCTCACAAAACCTCGCCCGCATGTCCTGCAGAGTTTATCGTAACTGGTACGCTTCTGCAGAATGCTGACTGCTCTGAAAAATGGGAATTCTCTAATAAAAACCTGCCTCACTGGAAGATTTCCAACTAGATCTGACTTGGGTGCGTGCGTCAGGCTCTGTACATGCAGGGGACATCTCAAGACATTTGTACACAAAGCCAGGTGTTCAAAACATGTCTGAGTGAGTGTAGGGGACAGACAAAGTTGCCTGGGAAAGAAAAATATGGGGGAGGAGAAGAGAAAAGTAAATCTTAACATGCCTCTACTTTCATTCCCCAGGTTCACTTTATAAACCCAGAGACTGTGCCGAAACCCTGCTGTGCTCCTACACAACTCAATGCCATCTCAGTACTCTATTTTGATGACAGCTCCAATGTTATCTTAAAAAAATACAGGAACATGGTGGTACGAGCATGTGGCTGTCATTAGGTTTGTAGGAAAGGAAAAAAAAAAAAGTTATTTGTAAAGAGTGGTTTTGTATGGCTATGTGGGGGAGGGGAAAAGGTTAGCACTCCAGCAATGGGTTTAAAAAAAATCCCAAACAGTTTTTAGGACTGGGCTTCTGAAAGTTCAGACAATGGAACAGTTTCTGGATCTAAGTGGCATTTGAACACATTTTGTTTTAGTTTATTACAGACAATGAGCTTGTAAACTGAAACAAGCCAGAGAAACCATTTAAAACCAAATCTGCCTACAAAATTGGCTCCTACAATACATATTTTTGCAAATGAGTCTTTCTGAAGATTGCAAACTCACCAGTGCTGATTGTGAGTTAAAAAATAATAATCTATCCAAGGTGAGAATGTGCTGTGACTAATAAGCATGTGTAGTTCCTGTAACACAGTTTGCAATAAAATAAGTGAACAAAATATACCTGGAGTGAACAGGTATTTTGTTAGAGAATTATTACCTCCATCCCTCTGTTTGCTTCAATTTCATAAGCAAAACCAAAGATTAATTACATGCAACTTCCAGTTTTAAATTATAGTAGCAAAAGCTATATCTGGATTGACACAAATTCAAAGGACAGATCAGTCTAAGAAAAAAAAAAAAAAAGAATTTTCTAATTGGCAAGCAAAAGAACTGAAGAAAATAATTCAAAAGAGCAAGACTTTTTGGGTATACTTTTTTCTGTCAACGGGGAAGGAAATTTCCTCTAGCAACCAGGAAGAATTTGAATTTGCTATCAACTTGAAACAGGAAAGCAGCAAAATGTTAAGAAACAGGGATTAAACCTAATGTTTAGCTGGGGTATCCTATGCAGTTACGGAGTTGTGAAAGCCAGCTAAAGATCCTGCTCCTGTTTGGAAAACGTCCACTAACTTCACTGACAGAACCAGTTCCGACGCTTTTTTGAGAATGTGGAGGCTCAAGTGCAGAAGGTGCTGTAAGCTGGGACGTACACCCAGCACCACACAGATTCAGCTAGAAACAAGCTAAGAAACCTTATTTCCCAGGGTCAGTGTTTACAATAAAAGCCCTGCCCCATTATTGGCTTCACCTTTAAAAAAAAAAAATCAAAAAAAAAAAATCCCTTTCAAGAGCCACACCAACAAGCTGGAACCAGGAGCAAGAAAGTGTCCCCTCAAGGCTTTTCTTTTTCCTTCTTTTAAAGTCACAGGTTACACAAACATCACACTTACGTAATTAAAACTCAATTAAAGTTGCTGTGAATAAGAATACAAAGTAGCAGTAACCAATCAAAAACCAATTCAGCGCTTTGGCATACAAAAGTAGGATTGGCATAAATTTCACCAGGGAGATGAAACAGAAAATTCTGTCCAATAAAACACCAGGTCCACAGCACACCCAGCTCTAAATCTCCAAACTTCAAAAACCTAAACCTCCAACAGATGGGTCCAGAACATCATAAATCCCTGGAGATGGTTCTCTCTACTCAGTGAGTGGACAGGGCGATGCAGCCACAGTGGGAACTTGGCTCCGTATCTTGCCTTAGAGGAAAGTTAGAGAAAGAAGATAAATGAACGCAACCGCCCGATTCTGGAAATCGCTCGCTGCTGCTCTTCCTTTAAGTCGCAGATCAAATCCAGACCAGATGCCTCACTTTAAAAAGAGTAAGCAAAGGAAGAAAAAAACCCTACTGTCTATGAAATAAATTGGAAACTTGTTTCTGATGGTCTAATTCTAATCTCATTTAAGTCAATTGGTGTTTTCCCAGCAGTTTTCTCAGTAGCAGGATTAGGCTCATGGGAAAGTGGAAGTGTCTCCATGACATCGGTAGGTTTTGGACGGGGGCCTCAGTGAGCAGTTGCCACATTGCCAGATGTGCCCAACTTCCAACCCAGGCAACTCGAACATCTGCAGGACCAGCCTGGCTGCGGCACGCGCTCCGCAAGAGCGACTCCAGCAAACTTCCTAACTGCCCCAAGGTGACACTTTGACCAGATAGTCACAGACAGCCAAATGGCAGGACAACAGCTGAAACCAAAAGACCATCTCTCCCTGGAGCCTGCAGACAAGACCATCTGCCATAAACAGCCAAAACTGCCCTCAGTTCATCTCTTATTTAGAGTGAGGTATTGAAACCACACAGACTGGAAGTGTCTCTTGACATTGTATACGTATACAGACCAGCGCTTCTGTAAACCTCCTAAAGGAAGTTAAGGTGCTGCCTAGAAAGTTAAAAGCTAATCATGCCTAAACTTCCACTATTTAGTAGTCGAGGATTAGTTTTTCTTGCGGGTGTTTCAGTGTTGGTGGTCACTGCGTTGGTGTATTGCATTTTTAACTTGGACCACGGTATCTTGCTGTATAGGATTCATATATTAAATACTATGTGGGGATTGTTTCTGTTTTGTTTTTGTTTTAAACACAATAACAGGATTTCTGTTGCTAGGCTCAACATCAGCTTCACTGTTTGTACATTTTTATGTAAATAGTTGTCACAAGTGGAAGAATTATTTATTTCCATCTCTGAATTCCTTTTCAATCACATCCAAGAAAAATGATTCTCAGTTCCTAAACTCATTTGTTTCCTTATTTAAGAAGATATTTATTAACAGTTGGCAAAAATGCATACACGTTTCTGGTTCTTTTCATAGAGCAGTTGTCAGAAGCCTTTTGTACAAACTAGTAAAATAAATCATTGCAACTTTACAAAAGATATCCCAACAACATTGTGTATCTGTGTGGTTATTCTCCCTATATTCAAAGAACCTTTTTGGCTGGGCAATATTTCATCTTGAGCCTCTGTTTTCATGTAGCTCAATCTCTATGTACGGGCAAAATCGGCACATGTCGCTATTTGGTGCGACTCCTTCAGTCCAAATACAACAGAGAGGGAAGACTACAAAAAAAAAATATGAATATGTTTTGCAGACTGCACTGCAAAGATCCATGATTGAATTATAGCGCAGCTGTCAGCAGCTGTTTCAAAGAAGCAGGGGGTAAATTAGTTCTGTTTACTGCTAACATAGTTCAGAGATTCAGTCATCCCAATAAAATTATAGAGGCACAAGAAAGGAAAAAAGAAACTCCAAAAGGAGCATCAGCCAAGAAGCTGACATTTTCTAATTTAGATTGTTTTAGCATATTTCAGAGATGCTGCTGGCATGAAGTTTCCTACTGTGGATACCACACCGCATTGCTATGGAGGCAGATGAAAAAAATAATGGTCTAAATCCCTGTATTAACTAAACATTATATCTTCAGGGCATAACAGCAATTTTGGGGTTTTGTTTACTTTGAACTGTGAGCAGAGTTGTGCCACTTTATGTAGATGTATTTGCTGATCCAGAGGCTTAAATCATCAGCATTTTGGAGTTAAACTACCATCTTTCACAAGTGATTACAAATTCATAAGTAAATTTGCTTCATGCGCTGATCTGAAGTCCAGCAAAGAATCAGTGCGAAGACCTTCATTGACCTAAACTAATGGCTGCTCAGCTTTTGTATGCCTAGACTAATTTTAGAAGGATGATCCTCTGGTATTTCTCAGTATGGTCCCAATTCTCTGCATTTAGACCCAGTGCAAGTCAGAGGTGGTTCCAGCAAGGGAAGGAAGAATTTAAAATAAAAATTAAAAAAAAAAAAAAAAAATCCTGTTTTCCAGTGCCAGTCTTGCAGCCAACAGAAGCTTTACCACTGACTTCAACACGTCCAGCCTTATATCATGAAATATCGGTTGGTTTCCAGCTCTGCCACAAACATACACAACTTGCTGGATATGCTTCGTAGCAGCTTTCCCAGCCTAGGAGCCAAAACTCCATTCCTGAGCTGGTTGCAGCCTCCCCTCGGTCCGCAGCGCTACTGTGGCTTTGTCTCCTCATCTACTGTTCTGGAAGAGGAATTCTTGACATGAATACATATGCTGCCATAAACTGGCAGGGCCATAAAACTCTAGCGAACCAGCTTCAAAATGGCTAGATTTATCTGAGTAATGACATTTTAAAGCACATTTAAAACATTTTATAGATCGGTTATTTTGACTTCCTTTCAGGCCAAACTTTGAGGATGTTATGTTTGCTTAATTGAGCTGTTTTAGATCTGTTCCAGTACTGACAATAGGATCCTTTTGTCCCTACGCAGGAAACTGCCTCCGTTGTTGCCAACGTTCAGATAATAAAAGATAATGATTTAAGTAAGCTTTGGTGTAATTTTAAGATTTCTGATTTTTATGGAAGCGTCAGCTGTAAAGCCTAAAACAAGGGAGGGAGAGCAGAGCTCGCGCAAGCGCAGCTCAGCAGTGTTGCCAAGGACCGTGGGATTTCCTCTGCTGCTCTATTCGATCCTTTCCGCTCTGCCTGCGATGGGAACAGACACTTTCTGGACAAGTAAAACCAGACAGACTCATCTCTTGAGTTCAGAATTTGCATCCTCTGTAAATTTCTATCCAAACACCCTGCTTGCTGACTTCCATTGCTGCCACGAACACATCATTCTCTGTACTCAGCCCTTCTTTTGGAGAGAAATTCTGCCCAATTAAGCTAGAAGGAGCCTGTTTGAAGTTTTTATTTATCAGGTAATGATTGACAAGACCTTGAGGCAAAAACTAGGAACACTTTATACTACAGCCATTCATTACCCAAGTACAAAAGCAACACAAATGGATTATTATGGCCACTTTGAGTTACTCTGTTTTAAATAAAAATATCTATTCCCTTTTTCTGCTTAATGCAGTAGAATTTGTATTCCTAAACCAGCAGCTAAGAAAGATCAGAAGTTTTGGATAACGCACATTTAAACGTACTGATTTGTTTCCTAGCGTGCACGCTGGTTTCCCTAGGGTCTGTTTGCTGACCAGGAAGTAGGAGTAGACTTTTTAATTTTAATGTTTTGAGAGTTATTTTGATATTGTGAGGTTTGCCACTTTGGGACGAATCTGCTGTCTTCTCCAATTAATAGAATCCTGATGTTTGAATTAATTCCATAAAGGAAGACAGCACAATCTTTAGACAGCTTGAGTTTGGTTTTATATTTAAAAGGAAAGCGGGACAAGTCATAATCAGATTCATTCACTTTTTTCTTTTTTTTCCATCAGGGAAAAGTACTGGGGAAATTAGGGGAGAAAATGGGGCTACAGCCTCATTCCCACAAACCCTCAGAAAGGTAGCTTTGCACTTGACTAACTTTTGCAGGCATGGTTAAGCATTTAACCATTTGCAGGATAAGGCTCTACATGGGGTTGCTTGAATTAACCTCACCCTCAAAGAATTGGCTTGCTTGTCTGCAATAAAACCCAATCCCAGGCCAGTCAGCAGTAATTTGGGGAATGGAGCATTTTGCGTCTGGAATTGGGAGGGGGCGACTGGCTGTATTCACTGCAACATCCATGGGCTTGCCCATAATTAAAAACATGCACTGACCCTTTCTGAGTGGGAAGCTGAAGTGACTCCCAAGTTAGAAGCCC